CTTTACTAGGGTCCGTTATACCTGTGTGTGTGCGTGTGTGTGTGTGTGTGTGTGTGTGTGTGTGTGTGTGTGTGTGTGTGTGTGTGTGTGTGTGTGTGTCAGACACAAGCCAATCATATAAAGCTGGTCAACAAACAAAAAAACGAAAGCACTTGCCAGTGCAATGTCCCCTGTAGTAAATACAGACAGCAGTGCCTTTTTTTACACAGGGTCAAAAACATCAATGAGAGGAAAAAACAGCAGCTGTAACAGTTCATAATGAAAACTATTGTGGTGGCAAACAGAAAAGACACTTTTTGAAGGAGGTGCTGAATGTGAAATGAATCGACCAGAGCGGCCCACCCTGATAGACAGCCCCACTTCATTTCACTTCATTTGTGTGCACACACATACAAATCTCCCTCGGTTTAACAGCAGTGATATGGAAGTTAATCCAAATTGTGATAGTGGCAATATCCTATTAGACCATGGCAGTAAAATCAAGCTGAGACTGGTAACACATTACAGATATCAGAACATGTTCAGCACGCTCCATTACAGTACGAAGTGACATTAATCAGCGGGGGTCCTCTTACACACACATAGAGGCATAAAACAAACATGAAAATCATACACACAGCCTCAAGTACAGCTCAAAAGAACACACGTTTTGAGTGTTGAAGTGTTGCTTCATCTGACATTGTTTCAAATGGGATAGAGAATTAACCACTGGCTTTGCTAGATAAATGCAGGCATATAGTAAAGAAAAAAGGTCTATCAAGCAGCCAAGGGCGGAAGGGTGGACATATGAAAGCTGTTCATAACACTTTTTGTAATTATCATAATATATATATTATAATAATTTTTGCTCACAGAGCCTCTAGGAAAAAAAAGTGATTTAGAGGAAGCTGGCAGACAGTTACTGTTCTAGTGCTTTGTGACTTTTTGTGAAAAATGTACTGCAATTCAGTTTGCAAACTGCTTGAAATGATAAAAGAGCACATTGTTGTGTGCCCATAATCACACTGATTCATTTCAGTTTTTAGTCAGTCGTTAGTTAGACAGGGCTGCATTTGATACTGTGCATATCTCTTTCTTTCTGATGTGCATATTGGCGTTGGCACTCCGGGGATTATCATTCTGCCTATCAGGTTTGGCACTGCTAAAATAACTCTTGTCCCCGAGTTGAAGGACCTTCGCCTCCCTCCAGGGCCTTTTGCAAGACCTCTGGCCCAGTTCACCCAGGCCAACCTATAGACTCCTCCTCCGCGTATGTGTGTGTGTGTGTGTGTGTGTGTGTGTGTGTGTGTTTGCACTAGCGTCTTACTGCGGGGAAACTGTTGAAGGTCAAAGGGCAGGAAGTTGGCCACCTGCCTCTGTCACTTTAGTGAAAGTAGTGATAGCAGAGAGAGGAAGTGGTAGCAGAGAGAAGAAGACACGACAGACGGAGAAAGTAAGAATGTCTGACAGTAAGTTCAGGATTTTGCCTGGCAGTTGAATTTACAAGAAGGTCAAATGGGTTATAGCATAACAATCCTTAAATAAGGAAAAAAACATTACAATTGAAGTCGCATCCTCTAAAAGCTCCAGCACTTTCTGATTGTTATTTCTATTCAATGAGCATTTTGTTGACCTTAGTGCAACTCCGTTGATCTGATCTGCAGACTTTGTGTCTGATTAAAGTAAACGACTGCTACAGGCTTTTGAGATTCCTACGACCAATGCAGAATAACCTACAGGGATCTCTCCGCTGGTATTTGCCAGAGGTGACAACCCCTTCCCACTCCTTGCATTAAATGTGCCAACCGAGGACGAGAGCATAGAAGGCCAGAGGGCAAAAAGGGTGTGAACCACCTGCTTCTGTCACACTGTCAGGATGAAGGCGAACGAGTGCAAACAGGGTGAAGTGTGTGTGTGCACGGTTAGCGATATTGTGTAGAAGGGGGACAGGTGGCACGCCGGACAGCACTGGCACAAGCCACCCCAGGATTTATCACTCAGCGACAGTCACGGCTGGGCAGGGGACAGATGTTTCTGTTTACCCCAGGGCAAACATCTGACTGGCCGAGCCTAACGTTAGCCGGACCAGCCTCGCCCGCACAGGAGAATGACTGAGAGCACAGAGGAAAGGAAGGAAAAGAGGCAGTGAAAAGGAGAAGAAACTGGAGGATGTTCAGTTTGCCCCCAAGGCACGGAGGCAAGTTAGCTCATTTCTCTCCAGTCTGCTCCATCCTCCACTGAAGCACCTGAAACTCATTTAGCCCCCACTAACTGTTGTGCCACTATAGGGAACCATTTTAATAAGTAGTAATAATGCCGATGGACAATATGAGCCGTTTTCAAAGCAGGGAACCCGCGCCAGTTTTTGGCGAGTGAAACAAAACCATTGCAATTGAACGTGAGTATATTCTACATCTTCACTTAGTTAGAAAAACAGACACATATGAACAGAACTTAATGTGGTGTTATTTAGGGGGTTTACAGTGAAAGCCATTTTGAATTAGTGCATGTTCCAGCTGGGAAACTTGAGCGCTGTCGCTGGTAATATAGCTGGAGCATTCTTCCCCGGAGCAATGATAAATGACCTTTAGGTTCAACCCCCGGGTGAGGTCATGGCAGTGTTGCCTACTATCAGCAGACTGCCCCGTTGCCAGCATTACCTCAGCTGCCTGGCATTGTCAGGGTCAGAGAACAGTCTGTGACCTCCCTGTGGTGACCAAACACCATCGAGACAAACACTCATAGTCTAGTATAGATTATATAGTTTATGAAAATGTTTTGGTGAAAATGATGGCACCGTGCATAAGTTTATTAAGATTTGCATCTGAAATAAGTCAGCCTGGTAAATGAAGTTTGATATTACATGGAGTTTGCAACCATTAATTACCACTAATGTGGTGTAATAAGCAAAGGCTGGATACACAGAGCAAGATTTAGCACTGATTAAGCCGTCCAGCAGAACAATTTCTGCTTCCCTGGGATTGTTAATACGAAATCTGTCTGCATAAATTTCACTCTCAGAAATCTAGAGACCCACAGAACAACGACATTAATCTGTTATTTCATTAAGATGTACAAACCAGAGCTGCTGCATTGCAATGATTTAGTGGGATATTACAAATATTGTTCCCAATGCACTAGATTTTATAGACATAGCCACTGATCTGAACCAGAAAATGTTGTATGCTCTCATACCTTTTTGATAATCTTATTTCTAGTTTATCTGTGCACCAGCATAACTTCACAAACACACACAAACTGTTTAATTATAAACTCTTTGTCTAAGTTGAATGTTGTACCAGCAGAACTATAGTAGATATCTAAGTACTTTTCCCCTAGAGTACTTAGAGAAATCATCTCGAGGTCCTGCCATATGCATATTTTGTGCTGACAGAAAAAAAGACAATGTGCAAGAAAGGCAAAAACCAAAAAGGATTTAACCTTTCCCTTGTAGCAGCTCATCCAGTCTTTGGTCGGAGCACCTGTCCATGGACCATCCATCTGCAGATGAAGGTGAGAAGCACAGCTGTCTAGACAAACACATTCACACTATTTAGATTGTAATGTAAACCCTTACTAACATAACCCTTAATCCTCTCCACAAATGAAAAAACTAATGGGATGTCTTAATCATTTCATGCAGGAGATGCAATAAAATATTACTCCTTTTCTATTTGTGGAACATGTTTGTCCACTCTCCTCCTGATAGGCCCCATTTAATCATGTTGTTCTGTTTCCTAATTAGCAGAAATGCAAAGTGTCTTTGTCACCTGTGGACAGCCAAGAGGGCTAATTTAGGCTTTTCACTAATTGCCACGGTAACGAGCCTCCTGCGCCTCCGCTGGGGGTGGGTGGAAGGCATGGCAGGAGGAGGAGGACTGGAGGATGGAAGGATGGAGGGATGAAGACACAGCTCTCCTCACACACGGCTGAGGTGTGAAAGAACGCGGCAGGCCAACAGAACGCAGCCTGGAGGAGTCCAACAGCAGGGAGTGGGGGACAGCCTGCGCTGTGAAAAAGCCCCAACACCCAGCTGAGAGGGAGGAGGATTCAGCTCTGGCCAGTTTTGGTCTCTCAACTTTGATGAGGAGATGACTACATTGGGTTTTTGATAATTGCTGGACATTTTTCTGACGCTGACACCTGTTATTGTCCCCCACCTGATTTGATGCTGGTTCCCACACAATGTACTTTTTTTTTTATTACTGTTCTTTTAATAGACAAATTGTAGGTCTAACTCAGCAGGCAGTTTTTAAATTAGCAGCTTGACATGTATGAAGCCTGTGTGTGAGAAGCGGGGGTAGGAGGAGGTGATGACAGATATAAACCAAATTAAAACATAGGATGTTTGATCATGATTGTGTTTTTGTCATTAGTCAATCAACAGTTGAAGTGCTTTGTTGTTTTTCCTTATGCAACTTTTTATAGTTTAGCAATCATGGTGAAATGGCAGCCTAATAGAAACTTTTCTGGGGAAAGAGTGGATGTAAAAAGCCAAAGGCTTGAAATGTCTTCCTCTTGAAGTATATAAATACTGTGGATGTACTATAATAATACTAATGTAGTTACACAATATTAGCATTAAATTACATAGCACATTTTTTATGTAACTTTGCAAAACCAGGCTGTAAAAATGTCATCCAGTCAACATTAGCCTACAAAAAATCAAATGTTTTACATTGCTGCAATTGGGATTCTTATCTTTAATTAAGATACAGATTTGGTTACAGTGGTTTATTGTCTGCTTCGCTAAAGCAAGCCAAATGCACGTTTAACATGCCTCTGCGTTATGTATTCACAGCGTCTAAATTGACGTGTACGTTCACATTTGTATCATTCGCATTACTGCATAAATTATTATCGTCACTCACCATTACATTATTTTTTAAGTTAATTAAATAGATTCCGTTAATGTAATTCGACTCGATCAGTGTGGTCTCTCTCTCTGCTGATTTATACCCTCTGTTTTTTTTTTTTTTCAAATACATTTTCTTTTCAGCAATACACCCTGAAAGCTCGGGGGCACCTTGTCCGTCCGCTGCTCTCGGGGGCGAGCTCCTCGAATGTGTGCGTGCGCGCGCGCAAAGAGCGTGTTTGAGAGTGTGTGTGTGAGTGACTGTATGTGTGTGTGCGCGCGCGTGCGTGTGGCTGCTCTGCTGTTGCTGCCCTTTGATCCCTGCATTAGTGTTAGTTAGGGGCTCGGAGACACACTTGCACCGAGAGCAGCCATAGTCAAGACACGGCAACAACAACAGCGGCACCTCCTCCGCCTGTGTTCCCATTCCCCCCCAACAATACACTTTAAACCGAGCAAAGCCAGGTGCACGACCAAGTCCCTGCCATCACTGGCGCCTCCAGTCTCAATGGGAAAAACCTTTTTTCTTCTTATCCCTAAACAAGGACGAGAATGTGATTAAAAACGGGGGAAAATGCCAAGGAGGAAGCAGGAGCAACCCAAGCGCCTGCCTTCACGTAAGTCCTTCACTCGATTTGTTCAAATTTTTTTGTAACGGCTCTCCGGGTATGTTTTGCGCAGTAGTTTAGGGTTAAAGAGGTGAAACAGACAAAAGACACGGCGTAGGTTATTTCTCCCTTTTTAGGTCCGAGCGAGGCAGCCATGTTGTTGGCGATGGGTAACGGTAGCTAGGCAGTGAGTGGATAAACGATACGTGGCTTTATTAAAGAGTACAATCGATAGAGGTCCGGTTCCGCTAAAGGTTGCGGTCAGTGGGCATGTGTGTCGGTTGTGTGTGGAGCAATAATGGCCGAGCGTTTTTCCCCGTAATGTGTTCGCCACTCTGCTATGTCGCTTTTCGGGTAAGAAAGGGGAGGATCTGGGAGTCTGGCCGCAATAAAATGAAGGGTCAGTCGGATCAGACAAGCCAGAGTCTGGCTCCCCGTACCCTAGTGTTCCTAGTTAGCAATAGCGCTATCTAGCAACGCTCGGTAAACTTCATTTCATCGGCGATAAACGTGCAACTTTCGCCTCATAGTTTTTGCTGCTTCCAAAAATCGCGGAACCGAATTTGTTCGCGCTTGTTTGTCGTCGACTTTTAAAAAGTGTGTAGAGATTTTATTTTCTTCTTCTTCCCCCTAACCTCAAGCTCGATATATAAATATATTTTCCCTCTACCCCTCCCAGTCTGCATGCAGGCTATGTCAGAGCCGTGGTCGGTCACCTGAAGTTCAGGGTTTTTCCCCCCTTCCCTTTTGCAGCCATTCATTGCAGACAGACTACGATCAATAACGCAGTTAGAAAAAGGGAAACGACAGTTTATGCTTCTCTACTACGTTGCTTTGAAGCAACGCCGTGCCGCAGCAGGAACCTATGAATCCCGTGTAGTCGATTTTTGGTTTGGGAGGTTGATTCACTTTTGTACATTTGACCCTCCGTATCTTTGGATGTTCGTATTGTGCTTTATCAGTCCAGATAATGAAACGCTGCCATGGCACACAGCGGCCACTAGAGGATCGCTCAGACGGTGTAGTGGGCAATGACAACGATCATTAAAGGGATTGTCCGAGAGTGACATTTCCCTGCTCAATACACGCGTAAGCAAACGGCTCAATTAGTCATATTGGTATGCAAATATAGTGAATAATTGGGTGATTCATCTTTAAATCTTGATGCATTTATCTTATGACACTATCTTCTTCATTTCTTAAATGTCAGACCATGCCAGCTGTTCATCACAGCCAGCCACCATGACACAAAAACAGGCACTAAGTTGTCTCTCTTACTCAGTTTATCTTTCATTGCTTTTGTTTCATTTCAAAGGGTTTCGAGTAATGAATGAGTTCCTGCTGCACCTGTCACAGTTTTAATATGTCTGGCACATTAAATCAAATGTACACTATGGAGTTGTTATCCCCGTAGCTTCACACCACAATATTTACACAAATGCTGTTTGTTTTGTAGTAATATTCACTGATGTACTGCTCAGGTGTTTGACCTCGGGTAAAACTTGGGAAATAGCATGGGTTGGCTTTGAGGTGGAGACTGGGTGACAGTGGTAAGTGATTGTGTGTGTGTGTGTGTGTGTGTGTGTGTGTGTGTGTGTGTGTGTGTGTGTGTGTGTGTGTGTGTGTGTGTGTGTGTGTGTGTGTGTGTGTGTGTGTGTGTGTGTGTGTGTGTGTGTGTGTGTGT